ATGACTCTATTCTTTCATCTTCTCTCCAACATCGTCATCTGTCAGGTGTGAAATCTGCGGCTACCAGTGTCGCCAGCGTGCGTCCCTGAACTGGCACATGAAGAAACACACTCCGGAGGCTCACTACAACTTCACCTGCGAGTTCTGCGACAAGAGGTTCGAGAAGCTGGACAGCGTCAAATTCCACAAGCTGAAGAGCCACCCTGACAAGCAGGCCACCTGAGGTGTCCCCACGCCGCCCACCGGAGCCGAAGCAGCGCGGGATTAGAAAGCGAAGGAAGACTTCTAAGTGAAGAGAGAAGACGTTCCTTTGCTGGGTTTGTCTCGCCTCTCATGTCGAGGATGATGTGAACGTCGCCTGTGTTCATCCACGGAGGCAGAAGTGGACCAACAGCTGTGCAGGACACAAGCTGAGGCCGATCGCAGGTGTTTGGTACAGCAACAGAAAAAAACCATAATCAGTTTGTGACTATTTGCTAAACCCCTCCTGAGCGATTGCTGTTTAGCATCCTTAGCAAACTTAGCTAGGGTTGACTTAAGGTCTTTTTTTGTACTGTCTCCGAAACCAAAATTTGCAAAAGTGTTCAAATGTGAGCTGCACACGTCAGCACAGTGGACTAACGAGCTCACTACCTGTTTGCTTTCTAGGTCAGTGGCATTTCACACCGCGTTATTATTTACAGATTAAGTCAGTTTTTGTGTTTACGACCAGCACATGCACTGTTAAATACGGGAAAGCTTACATTACAGCAGCTAATCTTCTTATCCCGGACACGTTGGTTTGTTCTAAACTTTGAAGCCTTTCTTCTTCTAAGGTGATAACATAATTTGAAAAACAAAAAGCATACGTCTTGCTTTTCTAATTGTATAAGCTAAGCGGCTAATGTTAAGCAGTTACATCGGAGCAAAACGGTCCGTAACATTTCTCTTATTATACTTAAAATACTATTAAGCACTACGAGAACAGCACTGCCTCTTAGGTTTCATGTCTCCTGCGTAGATCGGGAGGCGATGCAGATTTTTCGGAGGAGTCGTGCAGCTTTACACTCAGTCTTGTCGTGTTTGTAGCCTTCAAGTTTCTGTGACCATTTTACGGGTTTCTTATTTTACAGTGAGTCAGTGTGGAACATTGAAAAGCGACCAGAGGCAGTTTTCAGCCAACGTTAGCTACCTGTCTGACCTCATGATGACAGATCTGTCACCGTCACACTGTTAAAGGCCAAATGTACTGTTAGAGGTGTGTCAACAGGGAGGGGGCAACTTGGCGAACAGGCAGGTACACGTAGGAAATATATTCCACATAACATTTTTGTGGGCCTTGGACATTGTTCTGCAGGCTTGGACATTATATGAAAGATGGACAAAGCATCCAGATCTGAAAAGTGAAGCATATGTGGAAGGAGTCTTACACCATTCTGGACAATAGTCTGACTGCATCTCATCATCTTTCTGCTAAAAAAAAGAACTGTTTTCATATTGTTTAAACTAAGGATTAGGTTTATCTGCCCCGATTTGATCTGAGTCATTTAGTAATAATTCTACACCAAATTCTTAGGTAACTTAATATTATCAAAGCAGTGTATATGGTGGGCACCTAATTACCTCTAAAATGCATTCAGTAAAAAATTGCACTCCTCCATCTTCTCCACGAGCTCCAAAAGACGACAAAAACCTGTTTTCTCTACATGCATATCAGATAATGTATCATGAACAAGTGGAGCCTCTTACTGTTTAGCACAGTAGAGATCCAAGGAGGCATTTTTTTAGTCTACAGGCAGTTATATGTTGGCAAATGGAGAATATCGTCGGACTTTAACTAGCAATGGACACCATGACAAAGATATCTGTGACACCTCATGTCCCCTGGTCTGTTTTAATTTATGTGTCCCAACACAACTTACGCCCTCCCATTCTTACATTTGCAGACGTTTTCACAAAGAGTATGAGTTAAAAAAGCTGTCATTAGCTTTGTCTCTCGTCTCTACTTTGAAGTGAATCACTGTTGTTTTGGGTGATGCAAAGCCCAGGATGCAGCGATGGTGCCCCTGCAGCATAATGACTTGGGAGTTGTTTTGGAGCAACATTTTCTCGCAGGGAGGCGAGCACTGTCATTAAAGAGGTTAGTTTACAGAGAAAAAAACGAGTAGACATGCCTATCAGGTTGCTGCCTGGAGGTGGTGGTTGTTGTTTCCCATGGTGAAGGGGATCAGAATGCTTCATGAAGAAGTGATCCAAAGCCTGTAACCGATGAATCAGACGAACCTAACTTTAGTCTGTGTTCTTACGAACAGCCAGCAGGGGGCGACTCCTCTGGTCTTCCCTCACTCAAGTTCCCACACGATTCGTTACCTCAGTAAGCATTTCCATTCATGACTTTGTGGTCCATCTGTAGCTTCAAGACTCCTTCAATACAGCGTGATGTCCATTTCGTACGTTATGTTCCCGTTTGGAGTGAAGTAGACGATAAAGTAGGGGATGTAGCTATATGTTTGAAAAGACCAAGATGGTGGTGGCCAAAAGTTTCAAGGCTTCCAAAACATTGGGTGACATCATGTGGTCACACCCATCTTTTTGTAAAACATCCAAAACATTGGTAAGATCCTTTTGAAGATTAAAGTTTAAAATGTTCGTACACGGGGGAAATGTTCTCTGGGAAACCAACCGAACGACTCAAACTGATCCAGACAACATTAATCCTGTTACGTTTAAGCTCATGCACAGAACATGCTTAAAAGGGGGGAGATGGTGGAAATGGAGGCAGTAAATCTGTCACATGCTAACTAGCATAGCATCAACAATCTTCCTCCAGAATCCCAGACTCCACCTTTAAACATGCTCGCTTGGTCCTTTAATACACCACTGATTACATTACTTACAGTTTGGTGGGTAAATATTAACAAAGCACTACAAATGTGTGTTAAATATGTTAAAAATTACGGCCGTGGAACTGACGAGGTTTGACCGTATCGATACTTCTCCCATTTCATCGTTGTCATTGAAACTGAGCACCTGTTGTTTTGGCCAGGAGGGTCAGTATCTATCTTATATTTTCCTATAATGTGTTTTCACCATCCCAGCGTCCCGACTCTCATGAATAATTGTGAGATTAATGTGACACTCTCTCAGGAATATTCACCTCAATCTTCGTGTCTCTTGTTCTGTTTCCAAGCAAATGCACTTTTCTCTCCGTTTTGTCGGGTTTGTCAACTTGTCGAATCACTAAAAATATGTGAACATGCCTCGTGTTTGTGTCGTACCTTTCCTTTTACTTAAAACACATTCGTTCGACACGAATGATTCATGGCATTCGGTGCGTTTTTGCCTCTTGCATAATGCTCTCCGGGGTGTGTGGTTGTGACGCAGAGCTTGAACGGTAAGAAAAGGCATGAAAAGCGTAAGTGTCATGACACATAGTCATAGAAGCTCTTCACAGATACAGGACCTTTTTCGTCAGATGAATGTTGGACGTGGTTTCTGGGGGGTTGAATATAAAGTTTAGCTTGAGGGTACTTCTTCAGATGATGAGAGGTGAACATTTATACAGTATATTTTAATATTTAATCACATAAAATAGAATTGTGAACAGTGATTTGCATATTTTTTTAGTCTTGAATAGACCCATTCCCCACCATCAGCTACTCAAACAGCAGGTCAATATTACTCTCGTGTAAATCATCTACTCTCCTTTTTTATCGTGCACCTGAGTCCACCTGCGTTCTTTTATCTCCATTTAAAAGGAACACAAAGTTCAGTTGAAAGGCTGAGGAAGAGTCACCTCATTGACAACCCTGTTTCACATTCATTTCAGAAAATCCGAGGACGGAGAATCCATCCGACACAACTTAAGTGTTTCAGGTGAAGCCCAGAAAATGTGACGTTTCTTTGCTAGTTAATGCACTCAATGTGCTTTTAAAAAAACAAGTAATCATGCAGCAAAATGCATAATAAATAGAGTACAGCAAACTCAAAATGGCAAGAAAAGTAATAAGACCCTCTAAAGACACTGATGAACCGCGTATCCAGCCTGCAGAGCCTGTAAGTAGTGACTACATCAAGAGCGGCTCAGCAATATGGGATAAGGCCGTGGAGCACTGGAAACCAGTAAAGTGATGTGAGTATCAGAGTTGTACTGTTTGTTTGACTTTGTGTGTACACATGAAGCTGTGTTTTCAATGAGCAGGTACCTTCCTTTTGTTCGGATGAATATCAAAGAGCGCCTTTTTCTGCCCCGTGGCTTGTGCAAACCAGCGCACCTCCAACACGTCATCAAGGTAAACAACTTCTTTTTACTTTGCTGTGGAAAAGCACCATGCCAGAGTGTCCCCTGTTATGTGGAGTGGTAATGGTATATAGCCTGACGCGTTTGAAATAAATGAGTAAGTTTCTCCCGTTCGGCGGGTAATTTGTTTTACAAATGATAAAAAGCTGCTCCGGCTATGTGACTAACGCTGACCTGGGAAGTTGAGCTAATCCTGAAAGTAGACGGGGTGTCTGCATCCTGAATTGGGAACTGGTTCCACATGAGAGGAGGCTGATACTTAAAGGTTCTGCCTTACTTGCTGTATCTGAGAAGGATTTTATGTTCTNTGAGGATTAAGCGGTGTATAGATGATGGATGGATAAAGTGTGATATAAAAAATCAGAAAGTATTGTCAGATAAAATGATAAAAGATCTGGATAGTTAAGACTTGTTCTGGAAAAAAAAAAAAAACAATTATGTAAGTAGATGTAGTCCTTATAATAATCACAATGAGAGCTTTAAAGTAAAGGTAATGAAAGAAGTCTAATTCAGATAGATAGATAGATAGATAGATAGATAGATAGATACTTTATTCATCCCCTTTTGGAAATTCGAGGTGAAAATGATGTGAGAAAACATACAAATCCTGCTGGTACAAGAAATAAGGTGCAGAATCATGCTTCTATTTTACAATAACAAAGAATGTTAGCAAGTCTAAATACAGAATCACACAAAAAAATGTTCGTCAGTCTTCAGCTCTGGAGTTTAGACAGTTCCTCTCCATGTGTCATCTTCTGCTGTTTCTCTGCAGGTCTGAGCGACAAACAGCTGCTGCAGCCGACTGTGGACACTCTGGAGCTGAGCAGCGACCGCGAGTTGCAGAGGAGTCTGAGCAGGTTTGTGGCTCTCAGGCTGCATGATGAAGTCTACTGCACATCACGCTCCAGAAGAAAAACACTGGAGGTCCATGACATCAGACCTAGTCTATCTGTTAACTATGAATTAAGTCCACAGTGTTTGTTTTTTTCAGCGTCCGTTCAAAGAGGAGCAGACGAGGTCCGGTCATCGAGGCTGACGGGATGCTCAAAATGTTCCACTGTCCGTATGAGGGCTGCAGCCAAGTCTATGTAGCAATCAGCAGTTTTCAGGTAACTTTGCATTCTTCATTCATCCTTAATGGTTCAGCTGTTTTTTATTCCTTGTTGAAAATTACTGTTTGTCTTTTATCTGTAGAATCATGTGAACCTCGTTCACCGGAAAGGCAGGACCAAGGTCTGCCCACACCCCGGCTGTGGGAAAAAGTTCTACCTGTCAAACCACCTGCATCGACACATGATCATCCATTCAGGTGCGACTCGTAAAGACATCCGTGTTAATGTTGGATTATTGTCTGCGCAGAATGTGACTGTGAGTCTTTCTGCAGGGGTCCGAGATTTCATCTGTGAGACGTGCGGGAAGTCATTTAAGCGCAAGAATCATCTGGAAGTTCACAGACGGACTCACACGGGAGAGACACCGCTCCAGTGAGTTAGCAATGACACGGAAAGATTTTAATGCACGTTTAGTCTGAGTACCTTGATGTTCTAGTGTTAAACTGAACATTTAGCGCCCGTGCGTCCCGGTTAGGACACCCGGGATCTTTCTGCGTGGAGTTTGCATGTTCTCCCCGTGCAGCGTGGGTTCTCTCCGGGTTCTCTGGCTTCTTTCCACAGTCTAAAAACATGTTGAGGCTAATTGGTGATTGTAAATTGTCTGTAGGTGATAGACTCCAGCCCCCCGTGACCCTAGTGAGGATTAACTGGTGTATAGATGATGGATGTATGACTCTATTCTTTCATCTTCTCTCCAACATCGTCATCTGTCAGGTGTGAAATCTGCGGCTACCAGTGTCGCCAGCGTGCGTCCCTGAACTGGCACATGAAGAAACACACTCCGGAGGCCCACTACAACTTCACCTGCGAGTTCTGCGACAAGAGGTTCGAGAAGCTGGACAGCGTCAAATTCCACAAGCTGAAGAGCCACCCTGACAAGCAGGCCACCTGAGGTGTCCCCACGCCGCCCACCGGAGCCGAAGCAGCGCGGGATTAGAAAGCGAAGGAAGACTTCTAAGTGAAGAGAGAAGACGTTCCTTTGCTGGGTTTGTCTCGCCTCTCATGTCGAGGATGATGTGAACGTCGCCTGTGTTCATCCACGGAGGCAGAAGTGGACCAACAGCTGTGCAGGACACAAGCTGAGGCCGATCGCAGGTGTTTGGTACAGCAACAGAAAAAAACCATAATCAGTTTGTGACTATTTGCTAAACCCCTCCTGAGCGATTGCTGTTTAGCATCCTTAGCAAACTTAGCTAGGGTTGACTTAAGGTCTTTTTTTGTACTGTCTCCGAAACCAAAATTTGCAGAAGTGTTCAAATGTGAGCTGCACACGTCAGCACAGTGGACTAACGAGCTCACTACCTGTTTGCTTTCTAGGTCAGTGGCATTTCACACCGCGTTATTATTTACAGATTAAGTCAGTTTTTGTGTTTACGACCAGCACATGCACTGTTAAATACGGGAAAGCTTACATTACAGCAGCTAATCTTCTTATCCCGGACACGTTGGTTTGTTCTAAACTTTGAAGCCTTTCTTCTTCTAAGGTGATAACATCATTTAAAAAACAAAAAGCATACGTCTTGCTTTTCTAATTGTATAAGCTAAGCGGCTAATGTTAAGCAGTTACAT